TATTCTAATCTACAGAATTTTTTTATTTTCAGGGATAAGATTCCTTATTATAAGTGAAAGCTATACAGCAGTTAAAAATTGGGGGTCACCGGCAATATACGGAAAATAAAGAATAAAAACCTGCTTAAAATAGCAAAAAATACCATATTTGGCGAGGCTACTGTTACTATGGAAACAATATTATGTTCAAGAATATTGCAAATTTTTTCTACCAAATACTTGATTTATACTTGGGAATGCTTAAAATTAATAGATGGAGTAATGCAATTTATAAATTGAAATTTTTACGCAACAAGGTATTTATACTACGGAACTGTATCGAGTTAAAATTAAAGGGTTTTGCTGCATCTGTCCCAACACATTTGTAACTGATTGTAGATTTCAAGTCCTCGCATTTTTAATTTTTTAGTCCTAGTCGGACTTGAAATATTACGTAAAGGATGGTCGTTGTTGGTCCATACCTACAAAGATCTACAAACTTTATTTTTAACACGCCAACTTCAACCGCTACTAAAACTGGTTCCCACGAGGGGCGTGATCGGACAAATACGTACATAAACAACATATACAGTGAGCTAGTATGTTGCATAATAACTGGAAGATGATTAAAATAAGAAATAATGAAAGTAGAAGCAAGAGAACACTATGAAAATACATATCATATACAGATTCATGGTTGAAAATTGATGAGCCGGTTTCAAAACATTCTTTGTTTAATTTAAAGGTACTTACGGATTGGGTAATTTTTACCTCCTATGGTACTTTATTCCAAAGTGCAGCGTTATTCCAAAGCACCATTATAGTTAGAGCGAAATCTTTCTTCTGCTTGGGAAGTGCTAAATCGGTTTCTCTATTTCTACGATTGCATGCGTTATTCGTTTCATTTAATTGGAAGGATTGTATCAGTTTAGAACTGATAAACTGCTATCCAGTGTGAATAAAATTAACTAACTTTATTTATACAGTATATTCTTCATTATGTCTTCAGTATGTACAGCACACAGTAAGTTATTAGGTATATCGAGTTGGTCTTAATATGCTATGACAGTTGGAGAAGTTCATCTCATGACTTGATAATGGCAGTCCAAACATCGGAAACCTGTATCCTGTCGGGGATAATGGCAGTACTTGTCCATGTAATGATGTCATATGAGGCAATGACGTCATAGAAGGGAATGACGTTATAGATGGTAATGACGTAATTGGCAATGATGTCATAGGTGATAGTGACGTCATAGATGATAATGACGTCATATGTGGTAATGACACCATATTTGGTAATGACGCCATGTTTGGTATTGAGGTCATACTTGGTAATGACGTCATAGGTTGGACCAGGTCACCCAAGCCATCTCTTTTCCATTTTGTTCTGCGGTTCTGGAACCATGTTTTAACTTGTCTGCTGTTGAGATTGAGTGATTGGGCAAGCGCGTCTCTCTCGGGGATGGTAAGGTAATGGTTACTGAGAAATTTCTGTTCCAGATAATGTAGTTGCATGCTAGAGAATACTGTCCGTCGACGGCGAAGCTTTTGACCGCGTCGAGATAGGATGGTATGTATTGTTGCTGTTTGATTCTTGGAACTCTCTGTTCCGGTGTTTTGAGCTTCATCTTCCTCGTCACTTATTTCTAGGAAAGACACGTTAAGACGTTATTTCTAGAAAGATAAGTTTGGACAGAATGTGTGCATTAAGAACTACTGCACTCTTTCGTAGAAATGATAAACTTAAGACAAAATGTGGATTGATATTCATTGGATAACGCTGTCACTTATTTCTAGGTGAAAAGTAAATTTAGAAATCATATCTAAAAAGTATACAATAAGATATTATTTGTGGAAACGATAATGATATTCATTGGATAACACTGTCACTTATTTCTAGGAAAAGTAAATTTAGAACTCATATCTAGAAAATATACAATAAGATATTATTTGTGGAAACGACAATGATATTCATTGGATAACACTGTCACTTATTTCTAGGAAAAGTAAATTTAGAAATGATATCTAAAAAGTATACAATAAGATATTATTTGTGGAAACGATAATGATATTCATTGGATAACACTGTCACTTATTTCTAGGAAAAGTAAATTTAGAAATCTTATCTAAAAAGTATACAATAACATATTATTTGTGGAAACGATAAATTTACTAGACATTATTTAAAAAAAATATACATTAAGAGATTACATATGAGAAAAATGTGGATTCGATTAATTAAGATTTATTGGATTAGGAAATCGACCAGGAGGTACGTTATTTTGATATTGGGAAACTTGCATGGATGGAAAATATCTGTTTACACCCATGTTCAAAATTACGTGACCTTATTAATATTTTCAGTTGGCAAGTCAGTTTTATGTCACTCAAACTTAAGGTTGGTAAAACACTATCAGAGTTCCTGTGATCACAGTAGGAATTTTACATAGGTTTTTAAAGGATTTGCGAGAATTGTTTGAGTCTGTATTAAACCCCGATTCAGTTTCCTCAAACATTTCTTACAGAGTTACATGTCTTTCAAAACGTAGAATTTACCTCCGCAAAATTCCTACTGTGATCACAGAAACTTTGATAGTGTATAGAGCAGATATAAACAAAAGACATTTTGAACCATATTTAATACCAAATGAAGAATATTGAATCCAAATAAAACTAGATATGTCTTGAGCTTCACACACCGTGACTAATACTTTTCATTTCACTTTTCATTTCACTTTTCAGTAACAGTTTTCATTGCAAAAGCCTCGTGAACATTGGGATTTAGAATTTGGTTGTAATGATTTACAAATCCTACTGTTCTTCACTGACTCATTTAATATTTATAGGAATAATAATTCTTCTCATCAGAATTTTTCTCACCTTATTAATTTGTTGTCAATTTCGTACCATTGTTTAATAAAAGACAAAACGGAAAAGCTTAAAATATTCCGCCTTCAGGCTATTCTTGTTTAGTGTTATTTTGAGTTGTTGTGCGGTGCATTCACGAATTTAGCTATTGTCTGATGTTAATTTTGAGATTCCATATGCTGTAAAGTATCGAAAAGCCAGATTATTTAACGCTTTACCTTGCAATGTTTCCGCATGGGGACATGGTCTGTACGTTTTAAAGAAATACAGGCTATTTAATTCATCGCCTCCTTTTGGCAAGTGAACCCCTGCTGGTATCTTTCGTTTGGAAACCTTTGTCTATATTTGAGGTAGGGGTAGGTCTTACAGTTACAAAGTGAACCAAAGAAAGGGCATGTTCAAACCGTCTTCAGCTAGGGGAAGCTAAAATCTTGGACACAACCGTTTGAGACCATTCCTCGCGCTCAATATTGCAAAGTTATTGTACGTTCAACAGACAAGACTAATTCGTGATACCAATAATCAAAGTCAACTACCATGCAACCATATCAGGTATGTCCGCATCCAAGTCAATAAACAGTTTAAGACTGGTTTTACACTATCAAAATTTCTGTGATCACAGTGGGAATTCGAATAAGTTTTGAAGGATTTGTAAGAATGGTTTGAGGGAATTGGCTCATTGTTAAACACCGAGTCAGTTCCCCCAAACATTTCTTACAAATCCTTAAAAACTTAGAATTTACCCATTCAAAATTCCTACTTTGATCACAGAAACTTCGACAGTGTAAACTAGGCTTTAATTAAAGAACGACGGAACAGCCATCGGCCGAATGAATGAAGGTTCCAGTCACGCGTTTTTATACGCAGGGAAAATTTTAAATCTTTTTCAATTCAACATTAGTATGAATTATAACAAATGCACATTGAATCATTCACAAAACTACATGCCTTCCTTTTTATTCATTCAGTTATTTCATAAGTAACATTTAAAGATATTTCAACTTTTCCGTTTCGGAAAGCAGCCTTCATAAATGTTGTTTTTCAAACTAAAGAAATATATAAGCTTCAAACCGTCAAAAACGTACTACAATCTTTTCGTTTTATAAGAATATGAAATCGCGTACGCATACTGGATGTTCCCGCTATTTTTCTGACAAATTTAGGCTTAGAATATTCGCACGTATATTCCGGCTTAGATCACACAGTTTCAGAAACATAGGAATCTTGAACGTCTCACCAATTCATCATGGCGTTACGGTAGGCTCATATAATTATGAAATAATAATTCATGAAGAAAACACTGAAAGAAATCATGAGCGCGTGAAGGAGTTTGTATATCTGATACAAAATCGTGCTGATTTACATAAACTTTAAGTTCAGTTACCACATATCATTCGTTCATTTTAAATTGTTGAAGAATACGAATGCTCTCATGCCGTTTGTTTATCCGATACAATACGGCCGTTCGTGTTGTGCAGTATTGATGTACTTTATGATTCCATTTTAATATTTTCCCAAATATCTCTGCCTTAGCTATATTCTTGGTATAATATTCTTCAAATTTTGCTAATTTCAGTCTCAATATTTTTATCAAGTATAAACGAGATTCTTATAAAATGAAGAGATATATTACTTGGGAACTGGTTCCTTTATATACCGGTGTCCATGAGAAGAACCGCCAAGAATTAAATGTCATTGATGTTGTTCAGAAATTTATCGTTCAAACAAAACGACAAATCCTAGCTAACTGTGGCATTTAACAGTCCGTGTTAAAATTAATTCAACATCAATGCATAAGTTGACAGGGCAATAAGCAAAGAAGAAAGATTATACGTACACATTAATATTTTGACTTGATGCAAGTACCGCTGTGCATGCTCGTTCAGTTCAAGACTGCATGGTATAATGCTGAACAGTTGACCGACATACTTTTCCAAACTTTTATATGTATATGGAAAGTCTAGTATATGGATAGATCTTTTTTAATATAAGATTCGCTAAAGCACTTTCAAAAGAGTCCATTTCGGATGAAAATTTTAGACGAAGTCAAACCCAATCCAACGTCAGCGATAACATTACCACATTGAAGGCTGGTCTCAAAGCTTCTGCGATCACAGTAGTAATTTTGCATAGGTATGTTTTGTGTTTGTAGAATTTGTAAGGGAACTGATTCAGTGTTAAATATTGGCTCAGTTCTCTCAAACATTTCTTACTAATCCTTCAAATCTTAGAATTTACCGATGCAAAATTCCTATACTGTTTGTGATCACATAAACTTTGATAGTGTAAACACTATAGCCTATAGTCTCCAAACGAGCCCACCATCGTTTGGATGAAGTTTGAACGGGCCTTAACATGTATTCCACTTGAAAGTAACCGGTTATCTATTTATGCATGCATCTTTTTTATACTCTATAATAATGGAAGATGAAACTGTTTAGACTAAAATATATCTGAATCTATCTTATTCATCTGACTATCAACTGGTAAGGAATACGAGACGCGCCAACTCTGTGAATCAAGTTCTCCTAATTCTACGTTTGTTACTTAGTACTTAAAATCTCAAATGTGGGGCTCTAGTATAGCTAGCGACAAACAGTAAAGCTGATGGATTACAGGATCAACTTATACTTGAAAAACTATAACGAGAACTTCGTCCAAAGGGCCTTCGTTCCAAACGCTCAATGTTCTTGTAACTTATAGTTTCAGATAGCTCAGTTCTGTAACTCCTATTGTCAGTATTTAAATATACAAAACTCTACCTTCCAAATCAATATCTTCTTCATTGCTTTCCTCGTCTTCCGAACAACTTTTTGGAATTCGTATATGAACTTCTTCTTGTTCCACTTTAGGCTGTATCCCTAACAAAGCTTCTATGGTGAACGACATTCTCTAACTGTTTGATTCAGATTATCAGGTGACTCTTCTTATTATTCCCTGGTATAGAATCAGTTCGAATTCGAGTATTCTCTTTCAAGGAATATTATCCGATGTGTTCTGATAAATTATGACCGACTTTACCAGGGCGTCAGTTTGGATGTGATCCACTTTCTCCAATCTATACCAGTTACTTAAACCCCGATCCTCGCTCTCTCTTACTCAACACTTGTGTGAATTAACAACTAACACCGGAATCCTAGATAAGCCACTGCAGAGTCAGTCTATAACTATCAGTCCCAGTTAAACCTACTGTGATAATCGAATCACCCTAAAAACCGCGAGGTAACCTAAGCCGATACCTTAGCGTGCTACGGTTAAGTCGGATCTTTTTAACTTAACTCAAATTGCCGACACAGAATCAAAACACTTTCCCACAAGGGCGAGGGCTCGAAATATGCCCAAAATGTCTCAAATTGTGCTAAAAATGGCTCATTTGGCTCCTAAACCGATCGCGTGATTTAGGAAACGCGACAAAACGCTGTTGTTGTTTCTGGAGTAATCGAATGTAAGGGGTTTCGCAAACCATATTGATTATAAAAATACACTGCGCGCTCCCTGAATGACATTTGTAAACGGATTTATGGTGAAGTCCTGCAGTTCGTAAATTAAATGGAAGAGGATGAGTGCACGCTAAACAGCCGGCTTGTTTTGATATCCGAAGGTGACTGCGAAGCATGAAAAGTGTTTTTGATTTTGTGCGGAGGTGTGTGTAACTAAGTCCAGGAGTGTGTTTAAACAGACTATGTGGGTTTTGAATATCTGGTCATTCTAGAGCATTCTCAGCTAGTTTATCGCAAAACCGCCGTAGGAAGTACGTACCTGAAAAAACACGAACAACTCGGATAAGTACTGAAAAAAAAAGTTGGTTAATTAATCCACAACTAATTCGGACTCCCGCACGGCAATCTTGTAAATCAGTACTGTATTTTTAAGCTTCCAAGGCCAAATTGTACTGACTTGTATTGTAATGTGTAAACCGGCGACCTTTTATAGTTTAAACTGAAGTTCTATACGCTGTATAAACAGCCTAAAATTAAATTGAGGTTCACAATCGAGTGACAAAACAAGTTGTTACAGCTTCTATCAAGTTAGATGAAGCATGAAAAATGTTTTTAATTTTGAGCGGGTGTGTCGGTAATCCAGGAATGCGTCAATAAATAAAAATTATTCCTAGGACACGGGTTTACACCAGTATCGTAAAGCAATTTTAAATCTAGGAGTGCATCTCTGCATTTCTCTCTCCCTTATTGTTTGCCTTTCTGGAACTTTCCTATAGCCCAATTTTCACTACAAAATAATTTTTAGTTTATATGCCCGTTGGCCGTTGCTACCTATAATTCACTTACATAATAGAATTTAAATATTTGGTTACCTTTTTCTATTGTATCTCCCATTATCACAACAGTGATAACTGGAAGCTAGTGAAAGATTTTTACAGCACTACAGGATTTCAAATCAAGACAGTTAATTACATATTTGGAATTCGCCCTACGACGCAGTAACGCAGCCGCGCTTAAATTTGCATAAAGCACGTTTATGTTCAGTTTAATATCACACATAATAGCAAAATAAAAGCAGGTTATCTGTTCGGTACACGGAGAGACGTTTTCGATATTCGTACGAATGCATATACACAACAGCTTTAGGAAGAGTTATGTGCATCCTGTAATAATTAAGCTAGTCTGTTCTTTTGCATCTAATTAAGATAAACTGAGGAGTCTGATTAATCGGTAGCACTTATAGCCACTATTTGTGATATACTTTATTTGTAATAGTGCACAAACAGTTATATTACAGGTTATTGCCGACATAGAAATAATTAATCGCTATATAAAAATAAATAGCTAGCACCACCCCTCAATTTCCGTAAAAAACAACAACATGTATTCATAGTGAGATCAGTGGCGCACATTTCGCAAAATATGCAAATCTTGGTTGCTAACATTTTCCGACTCTCTTGTTGCTTTTCTGTCCTCAATGCCTTTTTAAGTGGCTAAAAGGAGCTCAGAATTCTGTGATTGTAAAAACGTAGCATTTCTGAATTTAAATTTGCATCTATATATTGATTTGTTTTTCATGTGTTTCCGGTTAAAACAAACCTATGTGACAACAGTCCTAAACTATCTGAAATATTCAAATGGTATTTTTCTTGTCTGCGCCTACAGTTTACAAAACTTGCGAGATCGGAAATAGCACTTTAATTTGATTACTCTGATATGTTCCGTAACAGGCACGCTGTGCAGAGGTATGCGATGTCCCGTGGGCGCAAGAATGAATCGGTTCCGGACACAAAGCATTTGAACGTTTAAGCAAACGTCATGTCACGCTGGCAAACTAAATTGCATGTCAATATGCGCGTATAGCGCGATTTATGTAAATAGGTAAGGATAGCGCAAGTAATGTAAATATGAGGTTATAGCGCAATTTATGTAAATATGAGGGGATAGCGCGTTTTATGTCAATATGAGAGGATTGCGCAGTTTATGCAAACTTGTGAATTTATTACTATTTATTTACCGGTCTTTCGTACTTTATATTTCTCTAATCCAATTTGCATTGCCTTTCATCCAGCGCTAACCGAAAAAACATTCGCAACTCGTGTGTATAGAAATTATCATGAAAAATATTTACACGATATTCAAATGTGATAATGAATATGAAAGTAAGGCTTAAGATACAAATGGAATAAGATTAGGAACATATTAAATCTGTAAAATACAGGAATGCCGGCATCTAGAAAAGACTATGACCTGGACTGCTTGTGCACTCAAGAACTAAACTGGATCTGTATTATAGACGCGAGGAATGACTATTTTCATTTATCAAGATTTCGGTTGGCATCTCACTTGATTGAATAATAGTTGAATTGTCTTGTATATGGAAATGATCAATTTATTTAATTGCGAAATATATTTGAATGCATTCAATAGGCTACGTTTGTAAATCTATTTCCATTTCATATTATTTGAACTTATTTAAAACGGTAAAACCCCTTCAGTGCACTTTTGGCGACTGATTTGAGGGGCGTTTGCATGCGACAAATTGGAAAACTGCGTCATAAATGACACTACATTGTATTGCATTTAATGCATTGTATTGTATTGCATTACATTGCGCATGACACTACAGAGTACAGGTGTAAATGTGCAATTTGGCCCAACTTGAATGTCCACAAAAAACCAACGATTTTTGGCATTGACTATAGCCCTATGATTCCCTTGACTCCAGAGCGAGACTGAAACTCGCATTGGTGACAGCGAGATGGAAAATAGATTATATAATAACTACAGTGAAACACGCAATTTGATTGGTCAATAGCTGCGGCTCGAGTATTTTTACGCTGTTTCCGAAAGTCTTGCGACATCCCTCGTGCATGGATCACGCAATCCTGCACGGAAAACCATTCGGTATTCCTTTATTCCGTTCATTACTAATTTATTTATTAATGTTGCCCATACATACACAAATCTTGAACTGTCTAATTTACCAGTGTAGTTAGTGCCAATAAAATGAACAATATGCCTGACCACGGTGGGAATCGAACCTACGACCTTTGGAATACTAGCCCAATGCTCTGCCAACTGAGCTACGCGGTCAGGTCGGTTCGAGTATGTGATATTTCGGAACTGAGTCTAGTTCCTTCGATATCAAATGCAATCTAGTAATCATGATTTTTTTCTGTGTTGGTGTAATGTACTCAGGTGCGAGCTCAGGTGAATATGATGCTTGTGATGTTACTCTGAGTATATATCCACTCAGAGTAACATTTCAAGCATCATATTCACCTGAGTACATTACACCAACACAGAAAAAAAATGAACAAGCTTTCGTTGGTAGGGATACAACTACCTGAAAATATTCGAGGAGAATTTCGACGTCGAAATTCTCCTTATATTTTCAGGTAGTAATTGCATCCCTGCCAACGAAAGCTTGTTCATATACATACATATTATTTTATAAAACATAAGTATATAGAGTTACAAGAATAGGGCTAGGGATCTACTAAAAACCATAGAAGGCTTTGATTATAAGACCCCTGTAGTTTACGTATGAATCGGAACTTAAGGTATATAGTATAGTGTGTTTTGTTGATGTGAATCATAGGCCTACTAACTGTTATCTTCGTCAGTCTATAACTAACAACTGTTTTTGGAAGTTTACCTTGTTGGGTATATGTACCTGTTGTAAACTTGCCTCGTTGTACATGTAATATATATATTTTGTACAATGAAAGCTTAAAATAAAATAAAATAAAAATAAAATAGTTCGAAAAAAGAAGATAGGAGTAAGTTGTTAAGTTTTGTTATACGATATTTCGAATCATGACGAAGATATATACAATAGGAAAGGAAAGTTAAAAGAGAAATAATAGAAGATTTATTGAAAAGTGGGAAGAATGTTTAAAAGTTCCGGTATTATAAAAGGAACAATTTTGACTGGTTGACTATTATCCATGGAGCCGCATAAGTCGATCTTTCGCCTTGATTTCCTCAATCCTTGAGTCCACAACATAATCTGAATTATAAAATACAACGGCTTATGACACCTGTTTCAAAGGTACCGCTAACAACAGGTCATGCCATGTTTGAAGCAGATTAGAACGGCCAGCGATCGGGGGTCCATTTATAGTTCAATGTTGCTAAAATTAATTATTTACATTGCGGGCAGATAATCATAGAGATTTCCATTTGCAAACATGCAAAGCGCAGCTTATCTTGCGAAATAAGCTTAGACTGCGTTGCGCAAATAAACTAACGCGTTTAAAAAACATTTAGTATAAACATGATGTTGACATAAATCGCGCACGTATTAACATAAATCACGGTGTTTCCGCACATTAATATAAGTCGCAGTATTCATATTAACATAAATCGCGATATACATCTTTTCCTATTTGCATGAACTGCGATCAATCTCTGTATATTAACATAAATCGCGCTTTTCCTCCTCACATTTACATGCACAAATCCCGCTATCTCCCCAAATTACATAAATCCACGCATGTGTTTCCGTAGAGAAAATAGACTTCTCTGCATGGTTTGTTCGATCTTTCTTGGTAAAATTTTCGTTGAACGTTTTCGTTTCATATTTTCTTTCTTGTGCCAAAAGAATATCATGCATTGCAGTTTTAAAACAGCAAGTTCATTTACTCTTTATTGCCTGATACCGTAAAATTTTGGCGTTTGAAGCGCGCGCGCGCTCCAGTGTGATGACTGGTGTATCACAAGATTCCAATCTGACCAAGATTCCAATCCAACTGTACACAAACTATTTCAAATTAGAATTACCTTAAGAACTGAAAGAGTTATCCATTATACAAAATAACAGTAACTCAAATCTCCGTGCCACCGATCCTGTAATTATTATCCATTATACATAGTTAATTTAGTTTGGGTTTCCTCCTGTAAACCCAAAGCCCAGCACAGATTCGCTCTTATTGAGCAATCCAGTATAGTTGCTCTGAAGATGTTGTGAACAATACAACGAAACGTTAGCCAATAAATTTTATATTTTGTTATGTCTTACCTGAAAGTCATTTGCTGGGCTTTAATTTTCATTTTTAAATCTAGTATAAATAAACTTACTTCAATTTGCTTGCACCATGAATTTCCGGCAATTCCGTGAAAAGGGCTCGTGAATATCGATTAAACATCTCCATTTAATTTGCGTGACCAGACGACAGCGTTAGTGCATCATGGTCTCCGGCTTAAGTCCGTAAACCACACTAAATACCGGAGGTCTACTTTACTTTAGAGCTTTAACATGGGATTATTACACATATTACAGGGTAATAAATGCGTGGATAAATAATTATAATTGGTGTTTGGTTAATCCATCCTGTATTACATGCAATAAGTCAATTTACACCGATGTGTCAACAACAACCCGCATTAAATGCGTCTAGATCATTCTTTCTTTACAGGCTTGTCTTATATTTACCTCAGTGAATTAATTTGATGACTTATTATTTCCATAGATATCTTATATACACTAGATAGCGCATTAATCTCCTCTGCAGGAAACTGTGTAGTTCTGCAACGTTATTAACCATAAAAGATTTATCAGGAACGCAGAAAATACAAGGAAATACTAGTTCTGAAATACGATATGATATTAATAAACACTGGAGCGTAAATTTAGGGAGGCTTGTGGATCATGTAGGAAGTAATGGGATAATATTTAATTTACGCTCCAGTGTTTATTAATATCATATCGTATTTCAGAACTAGTATTTCCTTGTATTTTCTACGTTCCTGATAAATCTTTTATGGTTAATAACGTTGCAGAACTACACAGTTGCTTGCGGAGGAGGTTAATAGCGCATCTCTTTTAGTAAATTGAAGCCAAGAATATTCCAGCGGTTAACCCCATTTGAATAGATGGCGGCCATATTGGAGTTTCCCACTCGCTAATAAACGCTTAAAAAACAACAATAACTGTCATCATTTGAATAGTTTGAAAATGTATTTGGAATAGGTTTAACTTAATGTTTAAGTTCCCTGTTTAAGAAATAGGCAAAACTAGTTTCTCTCATGATTTTTTCTGTTTTGGTGAATATGATGCTGTGAATATGATGCTAGTCTATATTAAGCTTGCGCACACCACTGGACAGGGGCGATGTAAAACAAAACATTCTTGCTGATTGAATCTTACTGCGTATTGTACAATGGTTTGATTCACGACAGGAATGCATCAACAGGGCTATCTAAACATGTGTATTTAGGGGCAGACCATCAGTGGAGGGGGACAAAACAATTCGCGCAAAAAGGAAAGCAAAGAAAAGTATATTTAAAATCCCGCAAACAAATTGCAGCACAAGCAGACAGTTATCATCGCTGTTCTGCAAGAGCACAATTCTACAATCTTGGACAAAACCCTTGAGACCATTCCAGCTAATATTACAAAGTTATTGAACATTGACAAAACAAACTTTGTCTCCCCCTCCCTCTCAGTTCAATGTTGTGAACAACGCCGAAACAACTTTTGGTAATATACCATGATACAAGCTCAACATTGAGTTGGGGGAGCGGGTATTTAAGAAGGGTAACATCATTCAACATGGAGTTTATCATAAAAATATGTGAATTTTCTATAGGGGAAAAATAGTCTCAACCAGTTATGTCCAAGATTGTAGCATGGAAATTAAACATAGACTTCTCGTGAGGTGTTGGTGAAGGAAGAGTTTAACTGATAGAACTGGCATCCAGTCTAAATAGTGTAAATAAACTAAGTTTGAGTCCCAAGTTATGATAAAGATAGGACTGATGACATTTCTCTAATGAGTTTATGATAGCTGTTTATTCCTTCATGTTATTATTAAAACTGTGAAATAACTTGACCCCTCTGAAGTGCTTATAAGATTTTAATTACCTAAACACACCTCTCCCGCGTTGCTGGTAAAAACCAGTACTTGACAAGATTATACTTTCAATTGCTTTCCGTCTAAGTGGCGTTAACTTGAACTAAAATGTGATTATGTTTGTTCGTAATAGTCTTTAGTTAGTAATGTCTCCGTGATTATTGCACTTGCTAAAATTGACTTAAAACCGGATTGTTGACAGTGGACCCTATCTGCCCAGTGCCAACCATGGGCTGTCAAGATATGATGGTTTGGAAACCCGGCAAACGCTAGAGCCACAGAATTGAAGACCTTTGTTTGATGTTGAACTGTACCTCGCCCGCCGTGCACAAATCCTTTGTTTCAACTTCATTAAATATTACTCATCGTGGTTGCACCATTTCAGCTATCCCTATTGGACGATTACTTCATTATACGAAAATAATGCAGTGAACTCGCGATCACCGTGCACAAATGGACCTATTCCCTGATGAACAAAATCAGTTTGATCTAGACAAGTCTAAACAAACATTTCATCACAGCTTGAAAAAGCATCACAAAATTAGTAATAGTCCGAAGTTTCGTTGCAAAATGTTGTTGAAAATGCGGATAATATAGCCCTGCGAAGTTTGCCGTTTTTCAGTCATTTCTGAAAAAATGTATCAATTTCCCGCTTTCTGAAAAAATGTATCAATTTCCCGTGCGGAATACAAAATGACTGAAAAACGGCAAACTTCGCGGTGCTATATTATCCGAATTTTAGAACATTTCGCAACGAAACTTCGGAATATTACTAATTTTGTGATGCTCTTTCAAGCTGTGATGAAATGTTTGTCTAGACTTGTCGAGATCAAAATTTTGTTCATTAGGGAATAGGTCCATTAACATAAACTCGGACAAAACATAACAATGACTTTTTACCATCATATTTTAGTATAGACTATATGCGCCAACTCAACACCGTATTAAAATCGATAGCCATGTGGGATATGTCGTTTTTTAAACTTTTATAAAGATAGGAGAAAATTCCATATTTTTTTACTCATAAGTACTTAGCTCAAGGGCTGTATGTTTACTGAATCAATTAATTAAACTATTTTGGGAGTTTTTACAGTAAACAATTATTTAAAGTTTATCTTGATATGTTCAAATCGTCGCCATGATATTGGTCATACAACATATATAACAAGGCATCGCAAATCTAACAATCCCCAAATCTATTGATCATCCAATTTATTGATACTTATTGGATCATCAATTCTATTGATACTTATTAAAAACACACTGGGATGCATTATACTCAATCCAGGCTTTTTCCAGATCAGTGCAGTGCATGTCACTCCGGGTTTTAACACATACCACAGGTCAGCAGGACATCCCGAATTGCCCGAACAGAGATGAACTTCTGTGTAAACAGTTTAGTCAATAGTTTGGCGGAAATTGAGGGATTTAAGCAAATATATAAGTGGAATGAACATAAACAATGCACTCTTTGTGGTACTTAGTGAAATGAAAGTACAATGATTTGATTTGATTTGAAAGTGAAACCGATACTCGATGGTATTTTTGACAAGCATTGTGAAAACCAGTGAGCTAGGTCCATTGCCAAAGATGGCGGAAATTGAAGAGCTATTGAATGTCAACCCAGTCTCTTTCTATTTATTTTGTCTGCGCAGTCCGGACACGAAGCTTCCAGGAGTGTGGCGAAATTTCATATTTTGACTTCGATACAAAGAATAATACTATATTATTTTATGAACTGAAAACTTAATCAGCGTTACCGTCTAACTTCATATTTGAAATTGTACCATGACTTTTTTGAAATATATTATTTTAAGTTTCCTATTAATCCATTGTAATCTGATGTCTGCATTTTTAAACGATATTTATATTCTTTGTACAGTATATATTCATTCATTAAAAGTACAGTTAAGTACTATTTAAAACACGGGCAGGAGTGCTTTATCAGATATAGAGCACGAGGCGACACTCGCGACGGCCGAGTGTTTTATATCTGATAAAGCCCCGACTCATGCGAGTGTTTTAAATGGCTTAAAAAACGACGGCCATGCATCTTATGAGTTCATTGGCGAAGTCATATTAAAAATCAATGGTGTCTAAGCCTAGAAAATCAAAGCTAAAGTTTATGTAAATTAACATGATTTTTTTTATAAACCACACACATGTTAGTGATGTCCTTTGGCTTTTCCTATTCCTATTAACGAGTTTTTTTGGTAGGTTTATGCCTAGTTTGAAGGAATGTCACTGACGCCTTTTAATCAAATTCATTCTTTGAAATATACTTTATAAATATTGAGCAATAGTGGTAGACTAATCATGTGGAAATCTACTGCAAAAAATAATATTAGCAATAAGCTTAAGAGAAAAATAATGCCAACAACAACAGGTGCCTTACAGTATTCCGGAAGTTTTATCGAGGTAATTATTGGTCACCTAATTATTATTTTAACTGCTGAACTGGAAAATGACTGGGCGTACTTAATACATAGCATTAATAGATAGGAGGCTAAAACAGCAACAGTTTTTAGTCCAAAGTTCACTTTGCACTTCTTACAGTATGTTTTTTTACAGTGTATTTTGTAAAACGAATATTCGAGCTCTAGAATATAAACAATGTAAACTGCATTATAGTTGAATCTAATTTCTAATCTTATTTACAAATTTAATTTTTCAACAAATAAGTAACAATTATACCTGCTCAAATTAGAGACATCGCGAACATTTTATTGAGATTGACTGACGATGAAAATATGGCAATGTATCAAAGGTATGGACGAGAGAGGTAGTTTACGAGATGGTTCCAAAATTGAAATAAGAGTTTGCGTTAGTATTAGGGTTAGTGTGGGGGTTAGGTAGGTGTGGGGTAAGGATAAGTATAGGTTATATTTTGAGGCAACGAGGGGATATGTGATTTATTATGATATGTGAATAAACACATATTCCCAAGGTGCCTCAAAATAACGTAGTTATTTTTCACATTGCGAGGTCGCGTTAATGAGTCAGAATAGAAATAACTCTTAATGCCATATTGCCTTCGTTATGTTGGTTTTTTTCTCATTTTTTGTGCTGCAAAGACATTGCAAGTGAATATTAGAGGGGATTATTAAACGGAAATTGATTAGAGGGGAATATTGAATATATTCCCCAATAAGAACAAAGGAAACCGAGCAGGGTGAAAAATAAGGTTTAGTATTGTTGCAAGTGGCTGGTTTTTTATTCTTTTACGTTTAGGGCGGATCTTAAAAACTGGCGGCCATCTTGATAACCTGCCTCTGGTCCATCCCCTTTAGCCACGACCATAAAAATATGTTAATGTGTACACAAACAATTCAGTTGAATAAGTGTCTTCAAAAATCCCAATAGTTGTAAAAAACTGAGGGATCTATTGTAACTACCTCCGAAAACATCTTAGGTTGAACAATACTCGTATTCAATCATTCTTGATACAGTTATATATTATGTACAATGTCGGAATAATGACCAATAATACTAAACGGCTATAGGGTAATATACTATTCACATGCAATATATGTCAATTGCTATATACAGGTGACATTACTATGTATTGATATATATATATGTGCGCGCGATTGATAGTTGTTCTCAGGCAAAATACAATCTTTCTTCCAAAAATCATGTTCAATCAGTCAAAGGTAAATTATATTCACAGATGTTGACCAATCATACTCTGCTGTTGCAGTAGTAGATTACCGCTAATACAACATGGCTTATAGCAATCGCAATGCATCTCAGGCATACTAGTTTTACCATTGAAACTTGCCATTGACATTATATAAGGCTGTTTGTTCCCAAAATCAAAGCATTTTATACTTGACTCCAATGTACTAGGCCCAGTAGCGATCGTACGAAGCTGATTTTCCGCCAAACGTCCTTCCAACGTGCTGGACACGGTAGATTCCTGAGCTTCGGTTCCAGAATCATAAACTTTGTTCTTCTTCATTTTCGTTCTGCGATTTTGATACCAAGTTTTGACTTGTCCACTGCCAATATTAAGGATGCTTCCAATAAAATTTCGTTCTTGGCTGGAAGGATACGCTTTCTTTTGAAAGAACTGTTCCAAAAAGTGAAGTTGAATGTTGGAAAATGCAGTGCGTTTTCGTCTTGGTTTTGCGTGCTTCTTTGGTATGACTATTGTCGTGAAATCTGCTGCAGGGAATCTTGTTAGATCGATAGAGGGTGAGGCTTTGGGATGACTCGTTCTGAGATTGCTCGGCGTGGGTTCTCTTGAAAGGCTGGCACATTTACCTGAAATGGTAAAGATAAAATGTTAGTTCTTTGTGTTTCTCGTAGCAGAGAAAAAATATGGCCTGCCAGTCTAAATTGTTTTGGCTACCTGCCATTTTTATTCACAGAACTGCCAAAATCGCTATGTCTCATATGAGTCATCTTGTAAAAATCAATGTTTTCATGATATGCATTTTTAGTATTTTTAAACTTGTCTATTTTACTACGGTAAACTTGGGTTTACATTTCAAATATACTAACATATTAGTCAACTAAATGATCTAGTATATATGAGTTTTGGTAAGCAAATGAAACGAAATATATCTATAGAATTTCACCTGCCATTTTTTTTTACTTGGCAATTCAAATAAATAACTTCTCATGAATAATCACGTACATATATAGCTACATACATATTTTATTTTGTTCCTCAATGAGCCTTTTCGATACTTATTTACATGGAATGATAGTTATTATAGATCAAGATTAAAATTATTACATTGTTAAGAATTTACTAGTATAAAGTTTTCTATTATTAAAAGTAGTCCATTATACCAAGTATAAAATCTGGCTGACATGTCTTTGGTGGGAATTACTTTCTGCAACTTAATGGTAGTGTTCTTGTTATTCAGCTAGGCTACGTTCACACTATAGTCTGTTTTCGTATCAATGTACTCCGTTCATAAGGAAATAGAGAACAATGGTCTTAACTGAAACAAAAGGAAAACGCTATGAAGATGGATTAGTCTGGACGTAGCCTTAATTTGGTCAGACATTCCTTACAAATCTTTGTTCCTCATATAACTACGTAGAATTGTCTTTTTGTACTGTGGTGTAACGCTTCTTAATGTGGAAATGCAGGCAGTTTATTATAGCTGAAAAATTGTGAATATTTTATATATATACTGGCATATTTTCCTATACTCGCGTCTTCGTTCTATAATCGAAAAAATAGAGTTCATACATGTTGTACATTCCTGTCCTAGCATGTCACCTTATCGTTGAAAAATAATGTGTACTATGTTTTTGTTTTAAAAACTTTAAAAAACTAAGTCGTGATTATCATCGTCATCAATTTGATCATTGATTCCGCTCTATTGTCCCTTCAACTTTTTCGAACAACAGTTGTAAATCATTTTTCAGCATCATCTTTCTGAGGTGTTCATCAACATCAAACTATGGCACATATACTGAAATTGACAATATTTAGGGAAACGCCTATGGCACCCCGCCTCGCCTCGGCATGTTTTCTAAAGTTGGCCCCACAAAAAGCCGCCAATGTCTTGTTGCCTGACTGGCACATTGGAACGGGTGGGAGGAGGGAGGGTGGAACTGATAAATGTAACAAAAAATTGATGATACATCTGAGTGCATATATGAACTTGTGAAGACTATAGATTCTCCCAATGTATATTGTCAAAGATTGTACTTTTCTCCATCGGCTTTGTGTGGCTCACAGAATAAAAATTGTTTCTGGAGGTTATCAATATCTGATCTCATTAAAATATTTCAGATGTTTGTATTTTGACTAAGATTGGCCAATCTTTAGACTCTTTGAAAAGAGTGTGGAGTAGTCTACAAACTTTGAAATGAGTATAGAAATGTATAAACCTTTATAATGTTATTCCGAAAAACATTTTGCATGTATACTATATACACAATTTATTTAAAAAAACTGTCTATTCGATCAATTTCAGTTCATCTTCAGAAATATATTTAGAAGATATGGCACATCTGGTAAATATCTGTTGAAGATGATTTGAAATTGATTTGGAATATACAGTTTAAATAGATCGTGTATAGTGTATTCATTGATATTAGTTTTATATTTGCTGAAACTGTCAGCCGGTAAAGAATTGCAGAAATGCATATTCACTATAAGAACATAGAAAGATGAAAGTGACCTCATATATATATATATATAATACTATTGATAAAAAACCCATACCATTTTGTTACTCTATAGCTTATAGCTTAATATGCTTCGGCACCATTTATGGTGAGATTCATAAAGTAATAAATCATTATTCCTTAAGATTGTGATCTAAATCTTGTACCATTCTCTGTTTAATGCTTCAGGACATATTGGATTATCGATACTGCTAATGATCGTCTAATTGTGTTGTTTGCATCAAATATACTCGTATATTTACATATGCATTACTTGTTGAAACTTGTAACAGCATAGCAAAAACATTCCCACACTAAAACACTCAATAATACTTACCATTTGAGTCTATTTGACCACCAGATGGAAAAAATCTTTCAGTTTCAGAAATTGGCAATTCCACCTTTATCTTTTGTTCAGGAACATTTCTGCTTTCCTTTGATGGTAAATTGAGTAGCGCATTAATGCTAAAATCGGTAGCCATGTTGCGATGGAGCGAACAAATCGTCTGTCGAACCGCTTATCGTTTTTCTTTGTATAGAATGAGCAATATATAGTCTTCTGAGTACTGTACAAAGCAACTTATAGTTTCTATCGAGGGTATCGTGTGCGTTCGTGATTCGATTCAGAACTGACAATGCTATTCGGAAAACTGGACTGAAATAACAGCGTCACGGTCGCCAGAGTTATAGCGTGTCCAAGAATTTAGCTTCAACCAAAGTTACCTTAAAATTTCTTTCAAAAATGTTCTTAGGATATCTTGCCACTTTGACGAATCGTGACTGAAACTAACAATGCTATTCGCAAGTCGTCTTAGTTATAGCGTGATACTGTGGTAGTTTTAACTAGTTTATCTTCCTTAAGCACAAAGAATAACAATAGTTTTTGAGATACCCTAGTGCGTAGTTACGTCAAAGGCTGCTGTATTTAAACTAACCTCAAGTGGCTATGTAGGCCAAGTTAGTTATGGCTACTTAGTGATTCTGACATTCTTTGACTAAACATCGATTATTGTAAACCACATCCGCCATTTCTTACAATCCATGGTTTTATATCTCAGATGTGGGGGTCCAGTCATGAGGATGTGGCAAACCTATGGCAGATTTGCGGGTTTTTAAAATTACATTATTAAAACAATTGAAAGCAGATCATTATGCACTGCATATGTTTTGTCGGCGATTTTGTGTTTCTGACGGATGCAAATGAGTGAACTCGCACACAAAACTATAGAGTCGCTTTTCAGAAGTAAACATTTCTCAGTCTTTTGCATCTCATTCATTCAATCACATCTGCCAGGAGGAGAAAAATCGCCGTGAATTGCTAAAGTGCATCAGGCTTTAATTTGTCCATTCTTTACAATCCTCTGCAATCTACGATTTCTCAAATGTGGGGTCCAGGCACGTGGGCGTGGCGAGACTATAAAATAGGATATTTATGTTCTTAAAATGACTTTATTATTAAAACAATGGAAAACAGGTATTGTTCTTGACCTGACTCGTACCCAGTTATCGACTGAGAATATCTCTCATTTCAGGGACTGAGTACGAGTCGGGTTCACATGACGACGGCGATGGGTGGGGGGCAAACAAAAAATTCACCCATGAAAAAAAGAAGATTCATGGAAAGAGGAGAGCAAAGGGATTCAGTGTAGCAGTTATTGAATTACGTCATAGTGTACCCAACAGTAAAGTTCACTCGACTGCATTTAGGGTATATGTATGATTGTATGAACGAGGAAAATGGCGTCTTCTGCTCAATAGTATTTATACAAACAGCAAAAAGCGAATTAGATAAGGGATTAAACAAACGGACTCTGGAAGTTCCAACAAGGCAAACAATTTTACACTATCGCCCGTATTCTAAAAGCTCACTCACACTCACACTCAATGAGTGGAGGTTCAATCTGAGCTTTTCTTGAGTGTCAATGCTGTTTTTGAATAGCGGGAGGGTGAGTAGTCGCACAGTAAGGTACGACACTAACCCTCCAGCTATTCAAAAACAGCATTGACACTCAAGAGAAGCTCAGATTGAACCTCCACTCATTGAGTGTGAGTGTGAGTGAGCTTTTAGAATACGGGCGCCCGTATGTCTATTGTCTACTATTTTGTTTTTAATAACGTACTATTGCAAATTTTAGCGAGTCCGATTAAAGCTTCTTATACACGTTATAAAATGTTCCAAAATCAAGGAAATTAGTTCGAATTCCAGAAGATGCCACTTCCGGTCTTAATCGATCACTCATGTAAACATATAGAGAATATAAGCTCAGTTAAGAAGTTGTATTCATCACACCACAAGCAAAAGCATTTGGTTTACACTGAATCCAATTAAAAAGAGAAAGCCTGATTCATAAGAAATGAAGACTTTCAGAATTATCATTCAATATGAATATTCAAGCTTGAAATACACATTGCGTCCAGGAAATCATATCAGAAATAGAATTAAAGATTGGCTTCAAAATGACTTCCTTAACCAATTTAAAGCTTTGTAGAACCGTGATGACTCTACCATATTGGATTCACTTTATTCTAAATATTTAAAGATCATCCCGACGAGATATCGTATTGTTTTTTTCTTCTTATTTTAAGCCATTATTTAGCAGGAAGTGTTTAATTACTTTGAATAGCTGTAGAAGATTACACCGTCTGTCACATTTAAAGTAATAAGAACAACATAACGTAGGTTGACCCTTCGAAGATGTGTATATCATAGCCACATATCACATATGTGTAGGACACATCCGTCTTGGTCATCGCGGTAAATGTGGATTTATGTGGTCATTGAGGGTAATGAAATAAGTTTACGATACCATATATACTCGTATAGTCAAGCAAAACGTTACCCTCAAAAGATCTGTTTTAAATCAACAAAGTATATTTTTGTATTTTTGGAAAAGCCTGTTTGTCCTTTGATCTGATTAAGTGTTTGTAACATCGCCTCTGGGGCCGGGATTGGCAGGCAAAAAACCCAGCAAATTTACAACTGTACAGTCCATGGTTCTTGTAGCAAGTCTGCCAACAAGCCGTCAACAAGTTGTGTTCGCACTGCTTGTCCCAAGTTGTCAACAAGTTTGGAACAAGGTGATAACAACTTGTAACAATCTTGTTGATATTATCAGACTTGGTGCAAGGTTGTTCCAACAAGTCCGATACAGTCATGATCATAACAATATTGTTACAACCTTGTGTCGTCAACCTTGTAACATTCTTGTTATATCATGACTGTATCAGACGTGTTAGAACAACCTTGTATATAACAAGTCTGATAATGCCATCAAGTTTGTTACAAGTTGTTAACAGTTTGTTCCAAACTTATTACAACAACTGGGAACAAGCAGTGGGAACACAACTTGTCGACAGCTTGTGAACGACAGACTTGTGACAAACGTAAAAACGCCGAAAAGTTGTATCAAACCTGCAGCAGACTTGTAGCAATGCTGTTCCAACAACTTGTGAACAGAATGTGTTCGCACTGCTTGTTCCCAGCTTGTTGACATGTTGTCAACGGCTTGTCGACAACTTGCTACAAGGTTAACGGTTGTTGAGCTCAACAGACTTGTTACAAGTTGTTCCAACAATTTGTTATCGTCCTACAATTCAATAAGTTGTGAGTGACAACCTAGTGCATCAGCATTGTTACAACTTGTTGATAAGTTTGCTACAAGTCTGTTGAGCCCAACAACATTGTAGCAAGTTGTCAACAAGCTGGGAACAAGCAGTGCGAACACATCTTGTTGACAAGTTGTTGGAACAGCGTTGCTACAAGTCTGCTGCAGGTTTGTTACAACTTTTGCGTTTTTACGTGTGTAAACATATCAACTATATTATTACTATTATTATTAAGAAGCTATAATGATCATATTAAAATATCATTAATAATTTTTGACAAATTGTTTTAGATCAAATATCCTGACTTATTATTCGAGCTTCGACTTTCTCGGTTACACGTGTAAAAACGCACAAGTTGTCACAGGTCTCCAAACAAGTTGTTACAAATCTGTTCAAAAGCTGTCGACAAGTTGTGTTCGCACTGCTTGTTCCCAGTTGTTGTAACAAGTTTGGAACAAGCTGTTAACAACTTGTAACAAGCTTGATGGCATTATTAGACTTGTCATACAAGGTTGTTCTAACAAGTCTGATACAGTTGGGTAAATAACAAGAATGTTACAAGGTTGACGTCACAAGGTTGTAACAATATTGTTATATCATGACTGTATCAGACTTGTTGGAACAATCTTGCAACAAGTTTGATAATAGCAACAAGGTTGTTACAAGTTGTTTACAGCTTGTTTCAAACCTGTTGACAACTTGGGACAAGCAGTGCGAACAGACTTGCTACAAGATGTGAGATTTTTACGCATTTAAAACAAACCATATCGCCAAAATAGTTGGTAAACATACTTATACTTAAATGCATTTAGAAATACTCTATAGTTAGAGAAACATACAAGCTACTGCACTTATGCCAAAACAATTGTTCAACTAAGTTATATTGTAGATCAGATTGTTACAACTTGTTGACAAGTTTGCTACAAGACTGCTGCAAACACATCTTGTTGACAAGTTGTGAGATTTTCACGTGTGCAGTTGATATGCGTCAGTTATCATTGTATATTTAAATACTCTCTTTATATCAACCTCGAATCCAGGATCTTGGATGGAGGTGGAAGCGTAGAGGAAAGAGTCTGGATACGAGATTAGCTTTAAGGTGGCTCTCAATAGCTTGTCATGACGTCAGATGCCAATCGATGATCAGTGTATATATATATATATATATATATATATATATATATATATATATATATATATATATATATATATATATATATATATATATATATATATATATATATATATATATATATATATATATATATATATATATATATAAATTTCAAGCGGAAATGTCATTGTTTATTATATAAATCGATTTGTTCTTTCCGAAAAACTGTGTTAAAATCCTTTAAGAAAGTGGCGTAATTATTAGCGGAGGTGTCAATGTCGTCAGAAATTACTGCATGAACCTTGATTAACCTGTAGACTTTAAAATAAACTCGATAATGCATGTCCGTTCAGAGACTGTAGCAAATAACATTCATTTATGTAAACCATTTAAATAAAATAAGGTACTGATGTATAATAAACATTTAACTACTATTGGTTGGCTTACCTCAAAGATAGAGAAGCTTGCAAGCCAACGTATATATGCTGGTAATATTTCCTCTATTTTTATGGTATTGAACTCTGTTTGATATTAGTCATTACATTTATAATTAGCACTAGAATTTTAATTTCAGGAAATCATGAGCGTGAAGAAGCTTTTGTAACTGATACAAAATCCTGTCGATTGACATAAACTTAAGTTCATATTCTTCCCAAATATCATTGATGCCTTTAGGAATGTTGAAAAATAGAAATATTTTCATCAAAATGAATTACCTAACGGAAATGTTTGTCGATCGCAGTAGCGTTGAGAGACACCGGA